ACATACTTTTTCCTCACCGCCCTGTTGTTTTCGCTCGCTTCGTGTCCAGGTGGCCCTTGAATCTGCAAAAAAAAAAAAAAATGTTAACCCGTTTCCCTTTCGATTGCCGAGATGGATTTGAACTCCTGTTCTCTCAGTAATCCGCAACGGCATTAGCCGATATCCTAGGATCGATTGACTCACATTCAACTGCTGTTCACGTGCAACCCTGCTCCACTTCAGTCTTCAAGGACCTCACTTGAATATTTGCTACTACCACCAAGATCTGCACCAATGGGAGCTTCAGCCAGGCCGCTGGAAAAGGAGGGGGATGGGGGAGGGGGCGGGGCAAATGAATCCCCCATATCCGCCTATGTTTGATTCCGGACGGCGTATATCCAGTGTTAATACCATCTGTTTGACGTATTAACACCAGCCCTTCAAGGGTTGCCCAAGTGGCTGTTTACTTTCTCGCGGGTACCACTCACTAAATACACAACGATTGTTTTCAGTAAGGCGAAGATTTACTGCCCCCGAGCTGTTCAGCGAGCAATTTTCCTGCCAAAACATTCACATTATCGTGCATGGGTACTCCACGTGCCTGGGAAGCTGAATCTGAAATCTTTAAGTTGTACTTGGACAGGGAACCTCCCCCTTCAAGGCCGGAGTCTGTCCCCCCCTAGCTGTTCAACGAGCAATTTTTCCGCCAAAACATTCACAGTTCTCGTGCATGGGTACTCCACGTGCCTGGGGAGCTGAATTTGAAATCTTTAAGTTGTACTTAGACAGGGAACCTCCCCCTTCAAGGCCGGAGCCTGGCAATCAATTCCTAGTGAACAGAAAAAAAGAATTTTTGTACAAACCTTCACCGACGTCGGCCAATTCAGTATCTGGCAATTCCACGGCTGTCTCATTGAGTGAATCCAAGAATTTCTCCACTGACATCGTTGCCTTAAGAAAAACATTACATTAAATCAGGAAGTGTGTAGAAGTACAACACAAACGAAGCCTCTAAGCCTGAAGTCTGCATACGGAATCCCATCTGCGGCATCCAACAATGCCCTTTGTGAGGTAAGGACACTCACAATTGTAAAAAAAATTTTTTTTGCAAAAAAATTTCGACAGAAAAAATTTTTCGCAAATCGTGTATGGGGCATCAGCCGAGCCAAGCCGAGCCGTGTTTTAGTAATTGCCCAAAAATTATCATCTGATTTGTGATGAGACTTACAATTCTTCGAGATTTCGTGTTTGTTTAGGTTATTATTTGGTATTTTTCTGGCTTTTGGGACTCACTCGCAAGTATGGTTGCTTCACGTTGACCGGCTTGAAGTGTATGGAAAACGCGTGACTTTCTAGTGGCATGTATCCAAAATTTTAGATTTCGACAGTGACACAGACTTCACAGAGCCTTCGCAATTTTGGGAAAACTTCCAGGGAACTGTGCTAA